GACCATTGTCAATGAGTTTGTTCTTGTGAGTTTTTCAGCCTTGTCTTCTGAGCTACAAGCTCTATTGTTTCTTCTCTTTTTGATCATTTACATGGTTACCCTAATGGGCAATGTCCTCATCATCCTGGTCACTACAGCTGATTCTGCCCTACAAAGTCCTATGTACTTCTTCCTCAGGAACTTGTCCTTCCTGGAGATAGGTTTCAACTTGGTCATTGTGCCCAAGATGCTGGGGACCCTGATCATCCAAGACACAACCATCTCCTTCCTTGGCTGTGCTACTCAAATGTATTTCTTCTTCTTCTTTGGGGCTGCTGAGTGCTGCCTCCTTGCCACAATGGCATATGACCGCTATGTGGCCATCTGTGACCCTTTGCGCTACCCAATCATCATGGGTCGCAGGGCCTGTGTCCAGCTGGCAGCTGCCTCTTGGTTCTCAGGGTTTCCAGTGGCCACTGTCCAAACCACATGGATTTTCAGCTTCCCTTTCTGTGGCCCCAACAGGGTGAACCACTTCTTCTGCGACAGTCCCCCTGTCATTGCACTGGTCTGTGCTGATACCTCTCTGTTTGAACTGGAGGCTCTGACAGCCACTGTCCTGTTCATCCTCTTCCCTTTCTTGCTCATCCTGGGGTCATATGTTCGCATCCTCTCCACTATCTTCAGGATGCCCTCAGCTGAGGGGAAACGCAAGGCCTTCTCTACCTGTTCCTCCCACCTCCTGGTTGTCTCCCTTTTCTACAGCACTGCCATCCTCACATACTTCCGACCTCGGTCCAGCACCTCTCCTGAGAACAAGAAGCTGCTGTCCCTCTCCTACACAGTGGTGACGCCCATGTTGAACCCCATCATCTACAGCTTAAGGAATAGTGAAGTGAAGGCTGCACTGAAGCGGGTCACCCACAGGACCCTGAGCCCTAAGAAACTGTGACTGGTTTAGATTAGGGGTGTCGAACTCAATCAGAGAAGGGGCCAAAATCTAAAATCCAGCCTAAATCGCGGGCCGAATGGTTTACTGAACAGTCATAAACTGTCATTGTGATGGAAACGCAGCGGAGTGCAGTGATGACAGCGCAGTGTGGGCCACATTGCAAGGCCTGGCGGGACGGATTTGGCCCGTGGGCCTTGTGTTTGACACAACTTTAGATGGAAACTGAAGGGGTAGAATGCAAGAACAAAAGAAAGAAAACGGTTTGGCTCAATAGATAGAGCATCAGCCCATTGACTGAAGGGCCCCAGGTTCAATTCCAGTCAAGACAGTTGACTTCATCCAATTACAGTAAGATTACCTCCATATTGTAGAAAACAAAGAAACTTTGGGTTATTCCCAGCAGTCTCCTACAATTTGTCCACTTATACTAGACTGGTGAATCCTTTAACCTTTTTTTTTTTTTTAATAATGTTTTAAAAAATTATTAAAACCAAAAACTTGGTTGCAGGATCAATCTTCAGGGTGCATGCGGGAGGCAACTAACCAATGTAATTTTCTCACATCGATGTTTCTCTCTCTGCATTTCTTCCTCTCCCTTCCACTCTCTCTGAAAATCAATGAAAAAATATCCTTAGGTGAGGATTAACAAAGAGAGAGAGAGGAGGGGGAGGGAGGGAGGAAAGAAGGGAGGGAGGGAGGAAGGGAGGGAGGGAGGAAGGGAGGGAGGGAGGGAGGGAGGGAGGGAGGAAGGAAGGAAGGAAGGAAGGAAGGAAGGAAGGAAGGCAGGCAGGCAGGAAGGCAGGCTCTCAATGGTTTTTTGGACTCCACTCTTTTCAGGAGCCACAATATACATACTGGGATCTTAGACTTTCCACTGGGAATCATTTCTGAAAAGAACATGAGTGGTGGAAGAACAACCTTCAGAACGCCCAGGGTTCTATAGGACTGTGATATCAATGTCTCTGAAGATGCCACCAGTTTACAAAGGTTAGGCACCCATCTGAAGGTTGACAACTTCACTACAATTTGCTATTTTTCATTTGTTTTAACTTTTTTGTTGTGTTTTAACTTTTTCTTGAACATCTTTATGCATGTCATTTTATAATTTTCTGCTTTACTTTCTTCTGTTTTTCCAAAAACTCTACTTGCAACTTTTAAAGACATTTTTGTTTATAAGGTAAAGTAATAATAATAAATAGTAGAGTTCTGTTTCTTCCTTTCTTTCTTCCTTTTCCTTTTTTTTTTTCTTTTTTTTTTTCCTTCAGCAAATTTTGATGCAGTACTCAGCATGCTTTTGCCCCTGTTTAGGCCCAAAAGACATGTTGGTGAACAAAACAAATAAATGTCTTGCCTCACGGAACTTATAGTGAGGGAGAGAATAAAAAGATATTCTAAAACTCTGCTGGTTTATAAAGTACACATATTTAGAGTGCTAACAATTGAGTAATTCTTCCACTGCTTCTATAATTGGTCTGTGCTTCATCTGGAGAAAGACTATTCCACACCACTGACAACTGCCTCAATCTCAAATTATCCACCTTGGATATGAGAGTTGCTTGACACAAAGGGTTAAAGGGCCGAAACCAGTTTGGCTCAGTGGATAGAGCTTCGACCTGTGGACAGAAAGGTCACAGGTTCCATTCCGGTCAAGAGCATGCATATCTCGGTTGCAGGCACATCCCCAGTAAGGGGTGTGCAGGAGTCAGCTGATCGATGTTTCTCTCTCATTGATGTTTCTAACTCTCTATCCCTCTCCTTTCATCTCTGTAAAAAAATCAATAAAATATATTTTTTAAAACATTATTAAAAAAAAAAAAAAAAAAGGTTAAAGGATTCACCAGTCTAGTATAAGTGGACAAATTGTAGGAGATTGCTGGGAATAACCCAGAGTTTCTTTGTTTTCTACAATATGGGGGTAATCTTACTGTAATTGGATGAAGTCAACTGTCCTTTTAAGCTTGCATATCACTCAGCCGATGTAGCAGCCACTCTATGATTTCGTCCAGTGAACATTGCCCAACTCTGTATTCTTGGCAAATAACAGAATTGAGACGTGGATGCCATAGCTTTGTGTAATCTATTCATAAGAATGTATTGATAATTAACAAATAAAATAGAGGTCTATCTAGGCAAGACCTCTTCACAAACCCTAAAGCAACTCAAACTCTGTGTACCATGGAAGTACCAGGACTAGTTCAATCTCCCACACAAGGTGTCTTTTAGCTCGTATGTATCAAGGGCTCCAGGAGGGCAGCACATTATGAATATCACCATAGGAATCTGCAAATAAAAAGGCAGATCGCAGAGTTTTATTTGCATGATGGCAATCACACAACTAAGCAGATTGGTACCATTATAAATTTGTCATCTCCAAGTTTAGCCAAGCTTTTATCACTGCCTCACATTCATTTTACTTGACCTTTATATGCTAGGGAGAACAATGGGCCCACAAAGATGTCCATGTCCTAGTCCCCTATATATTACCTTACATAGACTTTGTATTGATAGATATGATTAAATTAAGGGTAGTCCCCTGAGGAGATTAGCCTGCATTTTTTTTTTTAATACCAGAATAGGAAATCAGAAGGTGGGCTGAGAATGACCTTGAAACATTCCCATTGCTCCCTCACCTCCATGTATCTAAGTCCATGGGTCCTGTCTGATGGCCTTTTATACACAGCTACCCTCTCCAAGTTCTAGTTGCCTCCTCCTGGTCCTTCAGGCCCAGGATTGGTAAATACATCTAACACTTGCTTCCCTCAGATGTCACTATTTCTTGTTAGTTTTCAAAACTCCATCTTTACCTTATAAAATGTGTCCTAATAGATTACAGCACTCATCTCTCTAATGAGAGTATGAGAAGTAGAGCAGAGCTCATAAATTCTGCTTCACTGTGCCCATGCCCTATCCACCTTAAACCTATACAGAGGTGGGGAAAAGTAGGTTAACAAGTACTACAAATAAATAATACAATAAATAAATAATAATGAATAAACTTCATTTCTTGTATTAACAACTGTAAACCTACTTTGCCCATCCCCCACATATATATACATGCATATGTGCATGGACACATACATGTAGCATCTAGCTCACTGTAAATGATTAAGTAATGTTGGTTAATTTATTGATTATTTGATATGGCACAGAAATATCAAAATGTAAAATTATTGGAGTAGTTTCTGAGATTAAGTATTAATATATAGCATAATTTAAAAAGATAGATTTCATAGGTTCTGTAACCAGACAAACAATCGGTTCATGCTGCCTTGAGCCAAATAAGCAGAGACAGGTTTGAATCATATGAGTGTTTATTCCAGTACTGCCAGCAGCATGGGAGAGCAGCAGGTCAGCCACAGAAATCTGCTCTGCAGCTCCCCATAAGCCAATTGTTTATATAGGTAGAACTACAAAGGAAGAGTAGGCAAAAGGGCAGTTTACAATATGCAAAAGAACTATGAGTCTTTAAAGAGTTTTGTGATATTTAAGAGCTGGGGTTAAGTGCAGAAATAGCCAAAGGAAGTGCCAGGTGGGCAATTAACAAGTAAGCAGGCTGGAAGTTTGCAAAGGCCTGCAGGTGTGCAAAAAAGACAGGATCTTAAGGACTGGCTATTCTGGTTTCTACAACAAAGTTGTTAATCTTTCCATTATAACAGGCAGCTCCAAATGGGAGGAACGGCTGCTGCTCCAGGTCAGCTCCAGCCAGGATAGAATGTGCTTTCTTCAATCAGAATAAAACCATCATGGTTAACAGAGCATGATTAATATTTCTTACAATACTAGCTGGTTCCCCAAATTCTATTGCTGCCTCCTTTCAGTTCCATGGTTTATAAAAATGTGGATCTTTCTCAGGGGATTTCCTAACTCTTAGATGCTAAAAAACTAACCAGAAGGAAGGCCCTTCTTCTGATTGCTCCATGAATTACTGTCCTTCTTCCACAGAGGAAGTGCTGGGTGAAGGATGGAGGGTGGATCCCTAGATAAGGCCCAAGGATGAGACTCATAGCATGTTCTAGTCTTGCTAAGAAAACTACTCAGCAAGTCTTCCAAGTAGGAAGGTAGGAGGGTCTCACTGCCAGTGGCAAACTCCAAGCCTGTGTGGGAGACTCCTTGTGATCATTTTCCTCAGAGCTCCCTTCATGTCCTTGTTCCGCAGGCTGTAGATGAGGGGATTAAGCATGGGGGTGACCATGGTGTAGAACACAGACACCAGTTTTTCCTGTTCTTTGGAAGACTTTGGTGTCATGTAAGTGACAATTGCTGATCCATAAAAAAGGATGACCACTGTGAGGTGGGAGCCACAAGTAGAGAATGCCTTGAGCCGCCCTGCAGCTGACTTTATCCTGACCACAGTCACTATGATGTGGCCGTAGGATACCAGAATTAGGGAGACAGGGGTGAGGAGAATCACAACCCCCATGAGGAAAATGGCCATCTCTGAAGTCCAGGTATCTGTGGATGCCAGGATCAACAGGGCAGGTGCCTCACAAAAGAAATGAGCAATACTATTGCTGCCTCTGTAGGGTAGTCTTAGGGTGAAGGTGGCATCCACCACAGATACCAGAATGCCACTGGCCCATGATCCCACAGCCAACTGGACACACATCTTCCAAGTCATGATGCTGGGGTAATGCAAAGGGTTACAGATGGCCACATACCGGTCCCAGGACATCACTGCCAGAAGGGCACACTGTGTACACCCAAAAATAAAGAAGAGTAGAAGCTGAGCTGCACAACGTGTGAATGAAATGACTTTTTTCCTGGATAGCAGGTGGACTAGGGCCTGAGGAACGATGTTGGTAGAGAAACAGAGGTCCGCCAGAGATAAATTGCAGAGAAAAAAATACATGGGTGTGTGAAGCAGGGAGTCAACCTGAACAAGTGTCAGGAGAAGCACATTTCCAAGCACAGTGGCCAGATAGACACCCAGGAATAAGATGAATAGCAGCTGCTGGGTGTGCGGGTTGTCAGAGAGCCCCAGAAGGAAGAATTCTGTCACCTGTGTCTGATTTGTCTGACTCATGGTTTATCTCCTTTTTTAGTATGAAATCACTACATGCTAAACATAGGTGTGTGTAACCTATAAAAATATGTAATTCAGAGTTGGTGTATGTAACCTATAACATATATAATTAAATTTTCCCCCAATCACTACCAACCATTTCAAGAATCCTCTTTATAAGGATTTTAGGTGATCGTGCTGTTTTGGTTGGAACATTTTCAATTTTGCAAGACTTAATACTTTATAAGTTGGTGCGTTCATTTTTAGTGTCATCTGACAAGTGTAGACTAGATCCAAATCATCTTCTTTATTCTGAATATCACATATCTAATAACAAAAAGACAGATTGAATTAATGTATAAAGTCATGCTATTTAATTTCACTTTATTATTAACTAGAGCTTTTGAGTCTTGTGTTGCTCTTACCAAACCTCTCTCATCTCATGTTGGTGCAATTATTTTTAAGTCTTTGGTTATACAATTGTTTCTGTTGTCCCTTTCTTGAATGGGTATTCATGAAGGCATAAGAAATCAAACAAAGCCAAAGTACCCTGCAGAACTGACTTTTGTCTTAGAGACCTGTTTTGAAAAAGCTGGGAAACCAAGAGGTAACTCTGCATAGTGTACCATAATCTCTTTGGAAAGTCTTTCCTCACCTTCAGCTAAAGCTCCCAAATATCAGTGAACTTCCAAAATAACAGACACACCATTCTATATAATAAAAGCCTAGGTGGTATCATGCCCTCACATGACATCATCACAAGATGGCCACGATGTTGTTGCAAGATGGCCACCACCAGATGGCTACCACAAGATGGCTGTCACAAGATGGCCAGCAGGGGAGCAGTTAAGGAGCAGTCAGGTTGGCAGGCAGAAGCAGTTAGGAGCAACCAGGCAGGCAAGTGGTTAGGAGCCAGCAGACCCAGACTGTGAGAGGGATGTCCAATTGCTGGTTTAGGCCCACAGGGTTTTGGCCTAAACCAGCAGTCAGACATTTCCCAAGGGGTCCCAGATTGAAGAGAGTACAGGCCAGGCTGAGGGACATCCCCCTCCCCCCCATGCATGAATTTTGTGCACTGGGCCTCTAGTCATGACATAATTTATATGCTAAGCCACCAACATGGCTATTTTTCAGACTACATAGCACTGATCTGCAACCTCCAGCTCACCATCTCTCCCTGCCTGATATTATCTGTCTACTCCTCCCAGAAATGACAAACTCCTTTGAAAATTGTGTCTATGTCTTTCGTTTTTGTGTTCTTTATGAGACATAGCATAGAGCTTTGTTAAATAAATTATCATTAATTAAATAAAACAAATAAAATGTTGTTTTAAAAGCTTGTCTAAAAATTTAAGAATTTGGGAATAATAATAAAATATCATAGGGCCTCTCCAAAAAGAGTAAAAGAAAATTTAATTTAAAGTCTTAATTTTAAGGCTCTACATGAGGACTATCAACTCCTTTATCTTTCTAATAAAATACTTCAAAATAACGTTTTAAATACATCAAATGCATACATATATATATATACACATACACACACGTATATACATAAAAATAGAATGTATAGGATTGTCAAAAACTATTACATTAAATATAGTCATCAAATAACTTTAGAAAACAAATATGTTATATAATAATACATGTGCTTCTTCAAATCATTAATTTTTTAAATGTTGTGATGGGTCTAATAATCACCTTAATTTAAAAATGATGAACTTAAATGATATTTTGAGATATCTTCAACAACTGCAATGTGATATAAATATACCTCTGATTTCCACTGGTGCTAAAGCCATGCATACTATAGTGCTAGATACTATAAAACAAGAAGGACATTTTAAATTTACTTTAGTGTAAATAACATTCACAGCTAAATTAAAGAAGTCCCTGAATTCCAAGTTAAGAACTATTGGGCTCATGGAATTGCCAGGAATTTTCTCAAAAAAAAAAAAAAGACAGTTACACTCTATATAGTGATATTGGAGTCTTAGGCATTTGGATGCGTCTGTGAGTTAAAATGATGAAATATTTCAATTTATCATTGAAATAATAAATGAATAAATAAAATGCTAATATGAACAATGACATCTCTGCATAGTGTTAGCATCATATTCACTGAACATACATCACACTTTGAATATTCAGTCACCTTATTTGTTGAGTAAATGTGTTCGGCCAAGCATTTCCTTGGGATATAAACAAAAGACCTAGCTTCTGAGGCCAATGACTCTCAGGTAGGAAGGACCAAACTACAGTCACAGTTTATCCCCAGTGCCAGTGTGTTCTCTAGATTCCCAGCAAACACTGGTTGAATGAATGAATGTACTGGACCAAGTGATCTGTATGGTCTAACAATTACAAATAAAAGTAATATAGAATTGTTTCGAGTAGGAAATATAGTCTATTTTTAAATAGCTGATATGAAAGTACTGTCTGGTTAGTTCATAAAGTCTTCAGGTTATGGTTCAGCTCAGGTCTCTTACTGCTCCTGCTATAGTTCACACCCTTCCCAGAGTAGAATTTAGTGAAATTGTAACAATTATGTGTTTAGATCTCAGAAAAAATTAAATGGTAAACAAATAATGGTTTCACTTTTGATGAAAAGATATAGAGAATAACACTAAACACTTGTCCCAAAGTTTTAAGTGTTGCCCAAGTTGGTGGTTAACTTAGTCAAAGGGCAACTACAGGATACTGCTGATTTCTAAGCCTTCTTAGCCATCCCCCACTACCCCCTATCTCCAGCATATGTACTATAGAATAGACACACAAAAGTACATACATTCACACAAAAAAACAAACAAATATATTCTAGATTCATAAATGTATTTACAACATGATGTACTTACCTCTATCATAGCTCTTAACAAATTATGTTGAAATTATTTTCTTTCTCTGTTACTATAAGATATTCAAGAGCAGCAACCATACCTCACTCATCTTTATTCACAGCAAATATGATCAATGGAATGGCATGGAATAAGTGTCCAGCACATGTTTTTGAGGTGATTTAACCTAAGTCAAAATATCAGGAACACAATGAGTGAGTCAGAGATGAGTGTGACTTGTGACCTGTCAGATGGTAGGAATGCTCACTGACCCTGGGAGTACAATATTAGAAGACTACATCCCTGACTGCTCCCAATTTATTTTTTTAAATATATTTTTTTATTGATTTTTTAAAGAGAGGAAAAGAAAAGGATAGAGAGTCAGAAACATCGATCAGCTGCCTCCTGCACACCCCCTCTGGGGATGTGCCCGCAACCAAGGTACATGCCCTTGACCGGACTTGAACTTGGGACCTTTCAGTTCGCAGGCAGATGCTCTAACCACTGAGCAAACCGGTTTCGGCCCAATTTCTTTTTTAAAGCATATTATTCTATGTGAATGTGGAGGATAAAATGCTCCCTGGGCAACTCAGGGTCAAGAAGCTTCTGTAAGAGAATCATATCTGCTGTCAGCATTTTGTGTTATTCTCTCTTTCTTCCAGATTTAACATTAACTTGCAAGTGCATTTCTTTAAAAATGACATGTATTTCTTGATGTGGAATAGGATGATAATGTCACAGAAGCAAGCATTGTTTAATTGACATTTCTTTTAAGAAGAGGATACTGAGGAAATCCATAGGAACCAAAATAATATATGAAATTTCTCTCCAGATTTCAAAATCTTTCATCCTCAAAATCACCTATCCCCTACCCTCTTTACCCATGTACTTTGCTGTCTCCCCCGCCCCACACACAGGTATAAGAATTCACATCCAGAGGCTCAATAATGACTCCAGGGAAGCTCTGCTTATGTCTCCATCAGGTGAAGACCATGATTCTTTTTCATAGGGAATCCAACATTGTAATTATGGTTTGATAAGGTAGATCTGCTGTGGGAAAAACCTTGGCTAGATTTATTATAGAAGATTTAGCCCTAAGAATCACATTGTTTGGACAAAATTAGTTGAATTTAAAAAATCATATCTATGAAGGGATAGAAACCAATTAATTCCTAATAATATGCCAAGTAATCCCCTTTGTTCACTCATGTCTTGTCTTTCCCTCCCTCTAACAAGCATACTAACATTTTCTCATATAGTGGAGAAAAAAGTTAAAACCACTAAAGACATCTCACAGTTGAGTAGCAAACTGCTGCAGGTGCAGCAAATGCATTGGCTGCAGAAGGGGCAGAGCGGAGACTTGGGAGCATCTCGTCATGAAGTCAAAGGGCTCAGTAACATCAAGGACAAGGCAGGAGGGGAATCCCCACATCTCCCATGTCCAGAGTGCTTAGCATTGATTTCAGGGCAACAATAGTTCCATTTAAGTGAACGGAGGAAGACATGAGCAGTCTCTGGAGCAGCTAACTTACTCAGGAGAATTCTGCATCATTAAGGTGGATCCTGGGCTGCGTTTCCTCTCAGAAAGTTCCCAAATGGCTGTGAGAACAGATGTCAGCACTCACATTTCCATTTGGGGGAGAATGTAGATGCAAAAAAATGTAGAGTTAATTCAAAATCACTGTATTTTGAATTAACTTAGTGGACAGTACCTTCCACTAAGTAGATGATAATTCCAAACAAAAAATGTAGAGTTAATTTAAAATACCCAAAGGTGTATTTTAAAACAATACAGCATGATTAAATATGACTTATCTCTGGGATGCAAATATGTTTCAACAACAGAAACCCAACAGAGAAATTCACAAATTGTTACACTGAAAAATAAAATCAGATAAAAATCTCAGTGATGTAGAAAACACATGTGTTACAAAAACACACACACCTATCTATTATTTTTTAGTCTTTGTAAATCATGAATAAGATAAAGGGTTGTTTTTTTTTAACCTGGTTGGTTATGCACCAAAACCCAACAACACATCTCATATTTAATAGAGAAATTATTGGTGCAATCTCTAAGATAAGGGACAAGACAAAAATGCTGCCCTCACCATTACCATTTAGCAAAGTACTGGGAGTCATTAAGAACACAATGAAGAAAGAAAAAAGATAAAAGGAAAAAATATAAGG